TATTAAGCGAAGGAAGCCAATCTGAAAAGGATACATACTGTATGATCCCAACTATGTGACATTCTAGAAAGAGCAAAAGTATGGAGACAGTAGATCAGTGGTAGCACTATTTCCATATGAAGTGGGGGTAGAGGGCATTCTATTCTCAACATAGCTACCTCTAGTTAGCAACAGTCAACAAGCCTGATAGCCTGGTTTTGAACCGAAGCTCTGCCAATTATTTGAACTCTGATTACTTATTTGTTTCACCTCTCTAAGCCTCTGTTATTTTGATTAGTAAAATGAGGACAATGGTTCCGACATAGAATTACATGAATTGTTGTGTATAAAGAGCATATTAATGTGCCCATGATAAAATCATAGCTATCACCTACTGCATGCCAATTTTCAAATGGTAGCTCCCCTTGTCAAAGTACTTTTGCAGGACCCAGGAGGGTATATGTGCATGACAGTTTTTCCACTGGAGTCTGCCCTGAGCCATGCGGCTTAGCCCTATTTTTAACTTCAGTGTTAGGCCCTGAAGCACTACGTACTCTTCCATGTCTGACTTCTTGCACTTAGCATAATGTTTTCTTTCCTAACATTTTATTATAAAAATGTTCATTCATAAAGAAAGGAAAACCAGAGTGTCTGAACATTTACTCTGCGTTAGGAAAGGGCTCCTCACTGTGGGGCAGCAGCATGGAAGTAGGTCATTGAAAGTAAGGAACAGCAGCAGTATGACACAGAAATGCCACATCTGTACCTAGGCTTGGCCTCCATCTGTGTCAGCATCTCCCTCCCGGCCTGGGACATCACTGAACCAGCTGGTGGCCTTGGGCTCTGATGATTTCTTTCCTCTGACCTTGACTGTCTCACTCTATCACACTCTGTACTCAACATATTCCTTTAGTGCTTCATGAAGGCAGATGACAGAACTCCAACCGGACCATAGGAGAAATCAGATGGACATGGAAACTAGAGAAACACAGTAGAGGGATGTGTGATCACTGCAACAAAAGATAATTAAATCCTGGTTGACAAAAAGAAGAGGGTCAAGGACAGAGCCAATATTTAAGGAGCAAACAAAGGAAAGGAAGTCTATCTATAAAGAGACCAGGAATGATCAGAGAGATGGGAGGTTAATCTGGAGAGAGTTGGCTCCTAGAAGCAAAGAAAGGGGGAAAGAAAGGAAGAGAGTTGGCTCCTAGAAGCAAAGAAAGGGGGAAAGAAAGAAAGAAATAGTGCTACCACTGATCTACTGTCTCCATATGTAATAAAACAACCAACACCAAACAGCTCTCGGGTCCCCTCCCTATCCAGAAGCTTCCTACACTCAATAATAAGTTTTAATAAGTGGGAAGGGGGGCAGATCAAATGTGTCCATCTAAGATGAAGTATGTTTATCGGATGAGGAGACCTCATCAATCTTCTTCCACTCTACTTGGGGAGCTCTGGCAGCCAGGCCTTTCCTTTGCAGGTGGCAGATTAAAAGAGTCATCCCTGCTAAATCTGGACAATTTAAAGGAAAACTTTGAACGCACTGACAATGGAGGTTCGCCAAGGAAATAGCTCAACCAGATCCTACCCTGAGATGTTTGGAAGGGATTAGACCTATCTAGAAGCTCAGAGCTTCCAATACACTTTTGTTAGCCTGTTTGTTTTAAAATCAACTTTATCAATGTATAATTTGCATAAATAAATGCACTCATTTAAAGTGTATGGTTCAGGGGCACCTGGGTGGCTCAGTTGGTTAAGCATCTGCCTTTGGCTCAGATCATGGTCTCGGGGTCCTGGGATCGAGTCCTGCATGGGGCTCCCTGCTCAGAGGGGAGCCTGCTTCCCCCTCTACCCTTCCCCCTGCTCGTGATCTCTTTCTCTCACAAATAAATAAATAAAATCTTTAAAAAAATAAATAAAGTGTATGGTTCAGTACTTTTGACAAATATATACTCCCATTTAACTGCCATCTAATCAGTATACAGAATATTTCCATCACTCCCAAATTTTTCTTATGCCCCTTTACAATCAACACTTTCCTTGCCCGCAAACACCAATTTACTTTCGGTCACCATAGATTTGTTTTGTGTTATAGAATGTCGTACAAATAAACTCTACAGTACTTTGTGTACTGTAGAATAAACCATATTTGTACTTTTTGTGTGTCTGGATTCTTTCACTCAGCACAATGCTTTCTTCCTTAACCTTTTGTTATAAAAATGTTCAATCATAGAACAAAACTGAAAGAATTTTACAGTAAACACCCATATACTTACCACTAGATTATACTACAGTTGACCCTTGAACAATGTGCGGGTTAGGGGTGCCAATCACCCATACAGTCAAAAATCCATGTATAACTTTTTTTTAGATTTAATTTTTTTAAGTAATCTCTATACCCAATGTGGGCTCAAACCCACAACCCTGAGATCAAAAGTCACATGCTCCACCACCTTAGCCAGCCAGGTGCCCCCATGTATAATTTTTGACTCCCCAAAAGTTTAACTACTAATAGTCTACTGCTGACCAGAAGCCTTATTAATAACATAAACAGTTGATTAACACAGATTTTGTATGTTTTATGTATTATAGGCTGTATTCTTTCAATAAAGTAAGCTAGAGAAAAGAAAATGTTATTAAGAAAATCATAAGGAAAAGAAAATACATTTATCTTTTTTTTTTTAAAGATTTTATTTATTTGATAGAGAGAGAATGAGAGATAGAGAGCATGAGAGGGAAGAGGGTCAGAGGGAGAAGCAGACTCCCTGCTCAGCAGGGAGCCTGATGCGGGACTCGGTCCCGGGACTCCAGGATCATGACCTGAGCCGAAGGCAGTTGCTTAACCAACTGAGCCACCCAGGCGCCCAGAAAATACATTTATAGTACCTTAAGAAATCTGCATAGAAGTGAACCTGCACAGTTCAAAGGTGTTGTTCAAGGGTCGACTGTATTAGATTCTACTATAGTTGCTTTAATACATCCTTGTGTCCATTTATCAACCCATCTTATTTTTTGATGTATTTTAAAGACGTCAGTACATTTCCCCTAAATACTTTAGCATGCATATCAGACATAATTATCCATGTTGTTGCATAAATCTGTTGCTTGTTCCTTTTTACTGCTGAGTAGTATACCATTTGCCTAGCGATGGATATTTAAGTTATTCCCAGTTTGGTTTTATTATGAATAAAGCTGCTCTGAACATTCATATACAAGCCTTGTACAGATATATGCTTTTATTTATCTTGAATAAGTACTGAAGAGTACTTTTGTTGGGTCATATGGTAAGTATACCTTATAATAAATAGCCAAACAGTTTTCTAGGTGGTGCCATTTTACATTTCTGCTAGCACTGTATTTTTTTTTAAAGATTTTATTTATTTATTTGAGAGACAGAGAGGGAGTTGGCATGTTGGGTTCAGGTGAAGGAATCGGAAGTTACAGAACACACAGTAAATATACATCTGGTTTGAACATTTGTGGTACCGGCAGTGGTGCCTCTGAGGCGCCGGAGCGATTTGACCTTAACTGGTTTAGGACTACACAAGACAGGTATCTTCCAGCATCAGGATATAGCTGCAGGGTTTGGTGAGCCATTCCTATTTGTAGCTTTAGGAAACTGATGTTTTTCCTAAGTTATTTTATTTTATTATTTTTTAACCCTTTATTTAATTATGAGAGAGAGAGCATGAGCAGGAAGAGGGGCAGAGGGAGAGGGAGAAGTAGGGAGCCCAATGCAGGCAGGGGCTCAATCCCAGGACCTCAGGATCATGACCTGAGCTGAAGGTAGACACTCAACGCACTGAGCCACCCAAGTGCCCCTTAACCCAGGCCCAGGGGCCCAGCTCAATAGCCAGTGGGATATTTAAACAAGGAGCTTGATCTGGTGGCCTGCAGCTAGCCGGCATGCCTTAGGGCAGTGGTGGCCACTGCCTTCTTGGTCCCCTAGGCTACAAAATACAGGCCTGCAAGGAGCCCTCCACCTTCTCTCATGTGAACATCTACCTGACAGGTAGATAAGCATGTGGACAAAAACCTGATTGGGTGACAGGCGGGTGGGGGGCTTATCAGATTAAAACAACCAACACCAAACAGCTCTCGGGTCCCCTCCCTATCCAGAAGCTTCCTACACTCAATAATCTTTGCTTTGCTGCCCACCACTCTTTGTCTGGTCTACCTCTTAATTCTTCGAAGTGGCGTGACCAAGAACCTCGGCACCAAAGGAAAAGAAATCCTGCAACAGAACTACCACTTCAGAACTGAGGTAAGGGTGATTAGGACCCTAGTATTCCAGCATTCCCGACCAAGGTAGATCCTCTGTTCCATGAGTGGGCTGGATGGAAAAAGGAGCCTCCATCTCTCAACCACACTTACCCTGGACTTAGCCTTAATATCAGGGAGCTCGGGGCAAGATGAGAATTGCGGACACCCTGCTCCTCTCACTGGGATGGTGGGGAGAGGAAGCCCTGTGTTCTTGACTGCAGCAGACTGGTCAAGTGGTCTTGATTGAAAGACCACAGATTCTCACTCACTTTTCTTATCAAATTTTCATAGATTTTCTTGAATAGATGTTTTTTCATTTGCTATTTTCAAGGCTTTAAATGATTGTTTGTGGTTTGCTTGTTTTAAAATGATCTTCATCAGGAGCGCCTGGGTGGTTCAGTTGGTTGAGTGTAGGACTGGATTTCCGCTCAGGTCCTGATCTCAGTCAGGGTCGTGAGACTGAGCCCCAAGATAGGTTCAATGCTGAGCATGGAGGCTGCTTGGGATTCTCTCTCTCCCTCTCTGCCCCCCCCACCTCACGCATATGTGAGCTCTCTCACTCTAAAAAATAAAAAATAATTTTCATCAGTTTCACTAGGGAGTGGGTCACCTGAGCTCTTCATGCTGTCATGCCAGTAGTTAATCTCTTGGCAATATTCTTGTAACTTTCCTATAAGCTTAAATTGAATTGAAAAGTTAAGGGGAAAAAAAAAACACAAGAAAGTGGTTATTAGGACTAAATAGATTAAAAGACAAAGTGCTTTCACATTTGTTATTTATTATTATTCCCAAGCATCGATAAGAAACACTAGTGGTGCTTGCTTGCTCCTTATGACAGCTACAACTATTTTAAACAAACACCTGGGGTTCATAGCATATCCAGTTATTGAAAAAGAGGACAATTTCACTTTACCCCTCAAGATTCTTTTGTCTGGTCTAAGAATTAAATTGACATATGACAGATTAACAGGAGAATATAAAATTTATTTGCCTATCAAGCAATCAGGCAATTGAGAGGTAAGGAGAAGGGGTAAGAGGTCTGGGACTTCAAAGGGAAGGAAGACAATTCACAGGAAGATGAAAGAGTAAATGGTAAACAAATGTTTGCTGGCCTTACAGAAACAATGGGACTTAGAGAGGAATTTTAACAAACAGACTTTGCTAAATTCTTCTCTGTCTAAAACACCTAGTTCCTATTATACTGTAGTAAACTATGGTCAGACAACTCTCTTCCCAGAGCAGGTCCTCCATCTATAGTCTTCCACACAGCTACAGGGAGGGTCAAAGTTTCTTCCAGAGTCTTTTGTTTCTTAAAAATAATCACCTCAAGTAATCCACATGCCAAAGGGACACATTTTGGGGTGACAGTTTTCTCCCCTACGCAGTCGAGTGTTAACAGCCGGTTGGCTGTGGTACATGAGTGTTTTAATTCAAAGGGACTCATTGGGGTCGGTGAGTGGGAGTGTTGGGGTTTTGGAATATAGATGAGGTTCATTGGAGTGCAATGTGCAGCCGAGGGCCGAGAAAGAATTTTTGAGACGTCTCTGGTGCAAAAAGGTGGTTTATTAAAGGAAGGGGACAGGACCCGTGGGCAGAGAGAGCTGCCCTGGGTTTGTGAGGGGTGGCTGATTGTCTACTGTGGGGTTGGGGGACTAAGGAAAAGGGAGGTTTCAGAAGGATTGTCTTATGTTAAAGAAGACTCACAGGATACCCGGAGGCTTTGCCATTGTCAAGTTAAGGTTGTTTCTCCTAGAAAGCAAGGCAGTAACACTAAGACAGCTGGGAGCCTCCTGGAGGAGCATTACGCTCTGCCCGCTTCACGTCTGTCAATGGGCTGCAGGTTATAAGGACATTTCATTGTATCTACATTTCCTTCAGGAAGCTAGGTTATTGATAGAAATGCTTTGTTCTTGTAAATTGCTAAGACATTTGTAAACTGAGGGAGACTCCTGTCTTGCAGAGAAAATAGCAAATGAAAAAACATCTATTCAAGAAAATCTATGAGAATTTGATAAGAAAAGTGAGTGGGAATCTGTGGTAACATATATAACTCTGTAAGTTAACTATTTGTTTTTCCTTTCCTTAGCTTTAAGGCAGCCAGGAGTGCCTGAGGAATGTCACACCTGTCCCATCTGGGGGAGGGGGTCGTGGGATGGTCAGCTTTTGCTTTGTCCCCTTCTGCTCCCTCATCAGGGGCGTCTCTGGGCCTAACACTGAACGGTAGGCCATCAAACTTTCTCAGGCTTATGTGCCTAGAGAAGTCTTCAGAAAGGCCAATGGAGGCGGGACTGCGGCTGGAAGGCGCCACGTCCGCTAACAGGCTTAGACTTTCAGTTTCCTTTTCTTCAACTTTCAGGCGTCATTGTCAGCAAAGCCTGATAGGTCGAAGCCTAAGAAGAGCCCCGCGGTGAGCAAGACGGTACGTGCCCAGTGCTTGCTCCCCTGGCTTCCCACCCTCCCCAGATCCCAGACCCTATGCGGGGCCGGGGGGCGAGGTGGGGGGGCGGTGCCGCCTCTCCCGCACCTCGCAGCTACTCCTGGACTAGCTCTTCCCGGAACTGGCCTGGGGCGGGCGATGCCAGGCAGGGGTTAGGGGAGGAGTGGGCCTTCCCGCAGATGACTCATTCCGCTAGGGTCCTTATTTGCTGTTTGTGGGGCAGGGGCCGGCGCAGGCGGAGGGGGCGTGGAGGGGGCGGCAGCCGCGGGACAAACCTCCAGACAAACGGGCTCCGCCGGCCGGTTCTCCCCAAACCCCGGATCTCAGGTGGGTCGCAGGAGGCTGCAGGAGTCCCGGATGCTGTCCGGCACCCCCCACCACCGGGTCACATAACCGTTGCCCAACACTGAAGCTCCAGAGGACAAGTAAACGTTGCTTAAAATCATCCTGAGAGTTGCTCAATTCCTGGGGCAAACTGTTGGAAAGGCTCGGCAGCGTCCTTTCGAAACGTTGATGAGAAGGAAGACTTTTCCGGCATGATTACGTGTCTCGGCGGTAGTAGCCAGCCTGGCAGGAATTTTTACTCTATTGCAATAACCTGGTGAAATAGGTCAGGGTTGTTTTGCACAGCGGTGTAATATATATTTTGCCAAACTGCAAGGAAACTTCTTTGCCAACGTTTGGAATGACTAGTAAGATTTTTGTAAAGCCTTAACAAAGACTTGTTCCCCGCTCCCCGCCTTTCCCCTCCTTCAAAAAACAAACAAACAAACAAAAACCGGGAAATGTTAAGTTGATTTCAAGATGTTCCTGCTTGATGGTGTCCGGATTTGGACAGAAGGACATGTTCTTTTTAAACATTAACAGTGTGGAATGCAATAGAACAAAGGCCAGGGAGGCGGCATGTTTTGGTTCTAGCGAACAGGAAGTGAGTAGGGCGTGGGTTAGTAAGGACTCTAAAACCCTAATTATTTTCATTTGTTGACATTGACATTTAATTTACGCAATGAGATTTTAGTCCCAATAGAGAATAGAATATGTCAAGCATTTTGGACACCGACAAACCCGGGTAATCTAAAACTAAGACGGGGCTCTGATGGGCTTGACCCACTTTAGGTAAGAGAGTTCAGATAAGACGAACAGAATTTTTGGTATTTTCCCTCTAGTGGTTCCCCTAAATAATCTTACAAAAAAGTTTCAGTGGAAGAAAATTTGGCTTAACACCAAAATTACAAAGAAAACAAAAGAAAAGACTCGGGTTTGGAAGGGAATTTTGAACGTTTGCCGTACAGAAGTTTTCATCTTTCATGTTAACATTTGTTTTACTTACAGCTTCTGGGATGGATGTCCTGATTAAAATGGCTTTTTCTAACGACTAAACGTTTTCTACTTCTGTTTGTAACTGACATTTGCACTTCTCTTTAACACTGTATTACTTACTAGCTCGCGCCCGCTTTCGGAGGTGAATCCGCCTGCAGGTCTGCCGCAGCGGGGTGCACCTAGCAGCCTGAGCGTCTTGCACGACGGCGGTGAGGGTGGGGGAGGGAGCGTAGTCTCAGGCAGTTTGCATTGGTGGCAGGTGGTCTGCTGGAAGCTGCGACCGAAATAGGTTCCGTCTCTGCCGCGAGCGGAGCCACAACTTCACCCTCAGCGCGTAGGTGGGGCGCAGCCACAGCACCCACTCATTCTCCGCGAGCAGCACGTAATTCCCCCGAGCTCCACGTGACCCGTTGCCTAGCCAAGGGAGAGTTTCGGGACAGCAGAGGGTGTACCCTTGTGGAGTTTTTTTAGGTGCGGGGGCGGAGGGTTCTCGAACCTTAAGTTTCTCGTGGGCTGCCTGGAAGAGGCGCCTGGAAGCCATCTGGAGAGTCCACTTGTTGCTGGGTGCGACGCTCTCCTCCAGTTTCTGGAGTACTCCCAACGCCGGTTTCCTGGAGCTGCAGGTCCCTCACGGGTGGGTCTCGCTCCCGCCTGAGATCCAGCGGGAAGAGCCGGGGCTGCCCGGGCGTGAGTAGACTTAAGAATCCTGTCTGTCTCTCCTCTCTCGACCTGCGCCCCTGTGCTGGAGTCGCCTGGGCTCCGGGGGTGTAAGGGCACTGCTCCTGACCTCCCCGCCCAAATGGATTGAGCCGCTTTTAGCCCTTCTGGTCTGTTCTGGAGCCTCCTGGGGACTCACTTACAGCAGTCCCGAGTCACCAGGCGTGTCACTGTTTTAAATCTCAGGAATGGACTCCGTGTGGTTATTTTTTCCTTGTAGGGCCCCAAAGGCTAATTAAACTCGTGTTTATGGACTGAACTTGCCTGCTTTCCTTTGATTCGATGTAATCCTACCAACATTTATTGAACTCCTATGGGCCAGGCTGAGTTCTGGGTGCTGGGGACATAGAGATGGATCTGAACTTGGTTCCTTCCTCCCCCAGAAGTTCACAGAGTGGTTGGGGGAGCCCAAGCAAAGTTACCTACACGGGTAACTTAGATTCAAGGCAGCCTAGACAGGGACCACTGACAGCCAAGAGTGGGAGGAAGACAGTTGGGCCACGCTGGAGAAGTAATGACAGGTAACAGAGGGCAACGTGGACTCACGCTCATTCTTGTTTTCCTTACTATCCATCAGTGAGGTAAGAAACACTATCATTACTGCAATGCCCTATTTCTCCTTTATGTTCAGCTCCTGTCACTTATTCTCAGAAGACTTCATAACCTACCACCACATGTTCCCTTCCTCTATACTTTCATACATTTGGTGGTTGTCCTACCATAGAATTGCACTTAACACTCTGTATTGTAATGCTTTTCTTCAAAAACTTTTCAGTTAAGTTGTATTATAATTATCTGTGTTAAAATATATGCAAAGTAAATAGAGAGAGCCCTTAGGAGTCCATTTCCCAAGATAACAGAAGATTGAAGTTTAACGTTTTTTCCAGACACTTTATGCACTCAAATACAGACTTTTAAATGTTTTCAAAATATTTATTTTGTATGATGCTTTTTCTTCAGTTGCATTTCAGAACTGGTGTTTATTTTTTTCTATTAACATCTCTTCTTTTCTCAGATGGAATTTCACTCCCCTCCAACGTCAGTGTTTCTAATGAAAGATTTTTTTCCTAATGACCACTTTTCTTTTTTTGAGATTGTGTGTATCCACAGTTTACACTTAATTCATTTGCTTGTTTATATGTCTCCAATGTTTTTTCTCCCTCAATTCTGGGTTTAGAGAAGTCTTTTCTTCTTTGACCCCATGTACATATGGATATATTATGTATATAAATATATATATAAATATTTTCTTTCCAGATAAAACTGCTTCTTTCTCTGCTTTTAGCCACTTTGTCTTTATTTGGCAATTTAAGTTTTTGTGCAAAACAGACCAACAGCTTCTTCATTGTTTTCCTCTTATTCTATACATTGGGTTGTCATCTTTGGTAATTCAGTGCTCATGAAAGAACTAACCTTCACCCATGTGACACCACATTCATCTATATATTCAAGATGGTTTGTGGCTTCTGCAGGGAACTCTTCAATTGGAGAAATTAACCCATTTTATTTACATTAATATCTATATACTTAAGTTTTTCAGTGTAATTAAAAAATCCTCTTGTAGCTACTCGCTCCAAGGTTTAAAATGTTCCTTAGGCTAATGGCTTCAGTCCATCATCTGATTTTACAAGTGGGAACCAAAGCTTCCTTACCTACTTGTCAAATTCTTGAGTTTTTTTTTAATCTTTTGGATCTTCCCTTTAGCTTACTGTATCTTTTTTGTTTGTTTTTGGTTTTGTATTTTACTTGAAGCTTTCAAAAAGTATAGTTTTTAAAATCAATGATTTTGTTTTAAAGAGTAGACGCATGACAAATCTGGCTTGGATACTATCTGGCAAATGAACCAAATTCTTTGCAAGAATGACCAAAGCTTGATTCAGAGTTGAGTAAAATAAATCAATAATAAGTGAATCCCTTCATTCAGCATTTACTGAGCACCTGCATTTACCGAGTCTATCTTTTTTAGCTGGATTGTCAACAGGAATGTCAAGGAACCTAGAAAGAGGGAGCAGGAAGGAGATCAGAACAGTTAAATAGGTACCAAAGATAGTGATGAGGCTGAGGCAAATGGGGAATTTTTATTTTCTTCTTTACTTTTCTCCATTTTCCAGATTTTCCTATAGCATGCAAGTAGTGCTTTTTATAATTAGGAAAAAGAATGCTATATAGAAAGAATCACAAGGGCTTTATATCTCCAGTATTATGCACAACTTATGATTTTGAACAGGACTATCTCCTGACGGGCCAACGCTGGAGAATCCATTGTATGAACTGAACAAATATACCTGCTAGGTTGAATTTTTACTTCAAGCTAGTCTTGTATAGATGGGATTCAGTGCAGAGAAATGTCTGCTAAATATTTTATTTTAGTGTGGCATAATTGATACCTTGGACAGATAGGGTTGTTTCTTGAGCCCTTTCTAATTCCTTTGATGAAATCCTTGAGGAGAAGGATTGTGTATTTTCCTGATTGCGGTTGTATGATGATAAAGTGACCTACAAAGAACAGGCTAGGTCACAGCCCTCCTTTGCACTGCTTGGAACTAAGATCTGGTTTCTGACCTAAGGCTTTGCTGAAGCATTAAAATTTGGAATCTTGCTCAAACTCAGCTTTGCCTGTTGCTTTTTGTTGTTGAGGAAATGGAAGCCTCAAAAACTGATGAATGCAGTAAATGCTTCACACTGTCCTGTGGCTGTTTTTCTTTTCTTTTTTTTTTTTTAAAAATTTTATTTATTTATTTGAGAGAGAGAATGAGATAGAGAGAGAGCATGAGAGGGGAAAGGGTCAGAGGGAGAAGCAGACTTCCTGCTGAGCAGGGAGCCCGATGCGGGACTCGATCCCGGGACTCCAGGATCATGACCTGAGCCGAAGGCAGTCGCTTAACCAACTGAGCCACCCAGGCACCCCTGTGGCTGTTTTTCAATCACATGAGTGAATATAGTGATAGTTCATGGACAATTAGTTGTGTCTTAAACTTACACCATCTCATACAAGGTATTAGCAATTTTGATGATGTCCTATTTGAGGAAATAATTCCTTAAATTTAGGCATTTTTTTTAAAGGATTTTATTTATTTATTTGACAGAGAGAGACACAGCGAGAGAGGAAACACAAGCAGGGGGAGTGGGAGAGGGAGAAGCAGGCCTCCGGCAGAGCAGGGAGCCCGATGCAGGGCTCAATCCCAGGATCCTGAGATCGTGACCTGAGCTGAAGGCAGACGCCTAATGACTGAGCCACCCAGGCGCCCCAAATTTAGACACTTTTGAGGCCATCCTGAGAGAATTATACCACATACAGAGGTCTGGCCTAGAGGTTTGGTAAAAATGAAAATCTTGACACATAAATCTTAAGAGTTTTAAAAATTATGGTAATGGTAAAGGATAAAATTTTAGCTAAAGGTACAGTGAGACAGACCTTTTGTTAAAAGGCCAGGGGATCCACCGAGTTTGGCTAGAGATAGTGTATTCTGCGTGTTCAAGATGAGGTCCTATCGGCTCCTAGGAAACCCTTTATGGCTTCTGGGATCGAGTCCTATATCAGGCTCACCAAGCCTCTTACAGTCACACAATAAGCCACTCTTAAACAATAGCATTGCTATCCCTTATATTTGCAAAACCTTCCTTTCACAATCTGTTTCCTGGATCTAACAACCAGGTTCCAGGTATGATACATACGTCAACACCAGCTCCATCTTGCTTCATTGTAGGTTACCAAAGAATGAGTAGGCATCACGTGTGTGCGTGTGCTGGAGCTGTACAATGATGGCCAGTCAGTTCTTGGGAGGGTGAACTTGGCAGGCCTGGCCACGGCTCAGCATAGCCTAATGAAGATGAATGAGAACCTACCTGTTCTTGAGGACCTTACCACATATGATAGATACCCAACCAGAATAAGATAAATGTCAGAAGAGAGTAAAAACAGTGCTACAAAGCAGCAGGAAATGACCTGACTTAGGGATCAAGATAAGCTTATGGAAGAGAAGCCTTGAAAGATGGGATAGAATTTCAATAGGCAGAGACTGGGAAGAGGGAAGGGGCTTTCCAAAGGGAGGCAAATGCTTGAGCAAAGAGGTTGGGACAGAACAGCCCTGTCCAGAGAACATTGAGGTATCTATTTGTCACGAGTTAAATTACGAGCTGGGCCGAACTCTTAGGTCTTCTTGGGGGGATACTCTTAGGTACTTGGGCTACGTAGCAGAAGTTTGCCCTCATGGAAATTTAACTTTGGTTAAGATGGAATGGACCATGGGGCGCCTGGGTGGCTCAGTTGGTTAAGTGTCTGCCTTTGACTCAGGTCAGGATCCCGGGGTCCTGGGCTCCAGCCCTGTGTCTGGGCTCCTTGCTCAGCGGGGAGTCTGCTTCTTCCTCTCTCTATACCTCTCCCCCTGCTTGTGTTCTCCCACTCTCTCTCTCAAATAAATAAAGTCTTAATAAAAAAGATGGGGCGCAGGGTGTTTCAGTCAGTTAAGTGTCTGCCTTTTGCTTGGGTCGTGATCCCCGGGTTCTGGGATCGAGTCCTGTATTGGGCTCCCTGCTCCTTGGGGGACCTGCTTCTCCCTCTGCCTCTACCTCTCTCTCTATCTGTCATGAATAAATAAAATGAAATAAAATTAAAA